TACAGGCACGCGCCACCATGCCCAGCTAATTTTTTGTTATTTTTAGTAGAGACGGAGTTTCACCATGTCGACCAGGATGGCCTCGATCTCTTGACCTCGTGATCCACCCACATCGGCCTCCCAAAGTGCTGAGATTACAGGCGTGAGCCACCGCGCCCGGCCTCCAGTGATGATGGTTTTAAAGCATCGTGAATATGCTAAAAACTACCAGGCCAGACGTGGTGGCTCACGCCTGTAATCCCAGCACTTTGGGAGGCTGAGGCGGGCTGATAACAAGGTCAGGAGTTCAGGACCAGCCTAGCCAACATAGTGAAACCCTGTCTCTACCAAAAATACAAAAATTAGCTGGGTGTAGTGGCATGCACTAGTCCCAGCTTCTCAGGAGGCTGAGGCAGGAGAATCTCTTGAACCCGGGAGGTGGCAATTGCAGTGAGCCACTGTACTCCAGCCTGGGTGACAGAACAAGATTCTGTCTCAAACAACAACAACAACAAAACAACAAACAAGTAAACAAACAAACTACTGAATTGTACACTTTAGAATAGTTTAAACGGTGAATTTTTAACTTAATAAAGAAGGTTTATAAAACGTAGGGGTGGGGATTTTCAATCTTATCACATAGAAGCAACCACTAGGAACATTTTGGCATAGTTTATTTCAGTCTTTTCTCTGCACATTTAAGATTATGTTACATTGAAACTTTAATGTTTTTACTTTACAATTACATCATAAGCATTTGTAAACAATCACTTTTGATAGATGCAAGACATATGAATGTACTAAAAATTACTCAATGATTCTTCCACTTGAGAGTATGACTTCCAACTTTTCATTACCATAAATTATGCTGCAGTTGATAATCTTTGTGCATAGTATTAGAACTCTAAGACTTTGAGAACAGATTTTTAAAAATAAAATTACTCATCTGAATTATAAACCATTTTTACAGTATAAAACAAATACAGTTTGTAAAACTGATTTCCATAGCAGCTGTACCAATTTATACTCTTCTAGCAGTATATGAACATCCTGATGGCTCTCAGGCTTAGTTAGCATTGAATGTTAGATTTTATATTAACATCTTTGACAATTTGATGTGAAAAAAACATATTTTAAAGAGAAAGTACTCAGTATCACTTTCAGTAATAAGTGAAATGCAAAATTAAAGCAACAATAAGATACCTTTTATACCCACTCACCAGAATGGCTAAAATGGAAGACTAACAATACCAAGTGTTATGAGGTAAGCATAAGAAATGTAATTTCATACACTGATATAAAGTGTACAACTGGTAAATCACTTTGAAAAATTATTTTTCACTATCCACTAAAGTTAAACATACACATATCCTACAACCCACAAGTTCTACTCCACGATATATCAGAAATGTTAGCACATGTACACCAAAAGGTATGCTAATGGAAACATTATTTATCATAGTCAGAAAATAGAAATATTAGTATCTCAAATGCCAGTCAACAGTAGAATGAATCAACTGTGGTATACTCATACAATGGAACATTATATAGCAATGAAAATAAACAAACTATAGCTACATGTGACAACATGGATGACTCTCACATTGCTGGGAAATAAGCAAGACAGAGAACACAGACTGTATGATTCCATTTATATAAAGTTCAAAAACAGGGTACACTAATCTATTTTGTTAAAAGTCAGGCTGGTAGTTACCTTTGGGAAAGAAGAAAGAAATAGAGATTGAAAGAGGACGTGTAAGAGATCAAAGGGGTGTTTTTAATTTTTTTTTTCTTGGCCTGGGGGAATGATACAATTCAGTTATGTTTACTTCTGATAATTTATCAAGCTATACAGTCCTAATGTGGGCACTTTTCTCTATGTTATACTGCAATAAAATTAAAATAAGGTACTTTGGCTTCCATTTCATTTAAATACATTTCATTTAAATGTTCAGTTTCTCTGATAATAACCCACTTCTGTGTCATTTTTTTGTGAGCCATTCAATGTGCTTTGTCCTTTTTTTCCATTTTTGGTGTCTTAAGCATTTGCATGGGCTCTATGTTAAATGTATTTATCTGTCATCCTTTATCATGGAAAGCTTTTTCTGTATTTTTGGTTTTCAACTTTACTTACTTCTGATTTGGGAATTTGAAAGTTTTGTTTTTGCTCTTTTAGAGATGGGTCTCACTCTGTCACCCAGGTTGGACTGTAGTGGGATAATCATGGCTCACTGTAGCCTCGATTTCCTGGGTTCGGGTGATCCTCCTACCTCAGCCTCCTGAGCAGTTGGGACTACCAGCACATGCCACCATGCCAGGCTGACTTTCTGCATTTTTTCTGAAGGAAGGGGTTTTGCCATGCTGCACAGGCTGGTCTTGAACTCCTGGGCTCAGGTGATCTGCCTGCCTTGGCCTCCTAAAGTGCTGGGATTATTAGGCATGAGCCGCCATGCACAAAGTTTTTATTAGTCAAATTTTTCATTGTTGTATTTTGTGATAATGTCATCACTGCCAACATGTTCAGAAAACCCTTTTCCATCCAGAGTTGAAAGAAATACCAACACTTTAGTTTACCTTGAAAATAATTTAAAAAA